TTCCAGAGCTGATGATCGATGCTACTACTGGTTACGAGGCAATGTCTTTCATGGACGGTTCGTCGGGCTATAACCAAATTCGCATGGCACAAAAAGATGAAGAGCTTACTGCATTCCGCACCCCCAAGGGTATTTATAGCTACAAAGTAATGCCTTTTGGCTTGAAGAATGCTGGTGCTACTTACGAAAGGGCTATGCAGAATATTTTTGATGATCTTCTCCACAAGAATGTCGAATGCTATGTTGACGACTTGATGGTAAAATCAAGAGAGAAGGGCGACCACTTGAAAGACTTGAGAATGGTGTTTGAGTTGCTCTGGAGGTACGTTGAATCCTACTTAGGTAACTTTACGCGGAAACCTCAATGAAGGCCCTTCAAGGAACCAAAGTAACAAGCTGTAGCTCCCTAACTTTAACTAGTTCGCAAAATAGATGCAATCCTGAAAATGTCTAAGCGTCGGGATATTCACGAATTGAAAAGTCTGCAAGGAAAGTTAGCATACCTTAGGAGATTCATCTCAAACCTAGCTGGGAGGTGACAACCATTCAGTCGCCTTATGAAGAAAGGTGTCCCTTTCAAATGGGACCAAGCGTGTAGCAACGCCTTTGAGAGCATTAAATCCTACTTGATGAAGCATCCAGTGTTGGCAGCCCCTATACTTGGAAAGTCGCTGATACTATACATTTCAGCACAAGAGAGGTCTGTCGGAGTGCTGTTGGCCCAAGAAAATAGTGAAGGGAAAGAAAACTCCCTTTACTACTTGAGCGTTGTTGGCCCAAGAAAATATGAAGGGAAAGAAAACTCCCTTTACTACTTGAGCAGGATGATGACACCAAACGAGCTGAATTATTCGCCAATTGAAAAGTTGTGTTTGGCGCTAGTCTTCTCAATTCAAAAGTTGAAGCACTACTTTCAAGATCATGTTTTCCATCTTGTTTCTAAGGCAAATCCCATCAAGTTCGTGATGTCAAAACCTGTTCTTATCGATCGGCTAGCGAGATGGTACCTCCAATTTCAAAAATTCGAGATTTTGTAAAGCCCTCAAAAGGCTGTAAAAGGACAAGCATTGACAGACTTCTTGGCAGATCATCCGATACCTGATGACTGGGAGCTAACTGACGAACTACCTGATGAGGACGCAATGGTCGTTGAAGTTCAACCTCCATGGAAGATGTACTTTGATGGTGCTGCACATCATGGAGGAGCTGGTGTTGGCATAGTATTTGTCACTTCCCAAGGTGTAGTCTTGCCCTACTCCTTCACCTTGACACAACTCTGTTCCAACAATGTTGCGGAGTATCAAGCATTAATACTTGGTCTTGAAATGGCCGTTGATATGAAGCAACTGCAATTGCAAGTCTTTGGTAACTCCCAGTTAGTGGTCAATCAGCTCTTAGGTAGTTACGAGGTCAAGAAGCCTGAACTATGCCCATATCATGATTACGCTAAAAAATTAATGGGGTGGCTCGGTGATGTGACTATTCAGCATGTGCCAAGTAAAGAAAACAAGAAGGCGGATGATTTAGCTGCCCTAGCTTCATCGTTAATCCTGCCTGATCTGCAAGTTACTGTCTGCCAAAAATGGGTAGTACCGCCGCCAAATGAGGCCGAAGGTGAAGAAAATGAACTCAAGCATCTTGTCGCTGTTTCTGAAGTTGGGAAAGAAGAATGGAGACAACCCATTATCGACTATTTATGCTATGATACTTCTAGAAAATTTGCGGAGAAGGATTGAAATCCGTCGTCGTGCACTTCGCTTCCTTTACTACAAAGATACTCTATACAGAAGGTCATTCGAGGGAATACTTTTGCGATGCTTAGGGGAAGAAGAAGCACTCCAAGCTTTGCAAGAGGCACATTCTAGAGTATGTGGGTCACACCAGTCTGGACCAAATCTCCACTTCCATATAAAAAGGATGGGATATTATTGGCCAACGATGGTAAAAGATTGCTTGGACTAAGCTCGAAGATGCAAGGCTTCTCAATTCCATGCGAATTTTATTCATCAACCTCCTGAAGTGTTGCACCCGACTGTTGCATCCTGGCCATTTGACGCTTGGGGATTGGATGTTGTTGAACCACTACCAAAGTCCTCTGGTAGGCACCTATACATCTTGGCTGCAACTGACTACTTCTCAAAATGGGCCGAAGTTGTTGCTCTTAAGGAAATAAAGAAGGAAAATGTTGCAAGTTTCATCCGAGTAAACATTATCTATCGCTTTGGCATTCCTCCTTACATAATAACGGATAATGAAAAGACATTCGATAATAGGTTGATGAACAAGATTTGTGATCTCTTTGTCTTCAAGCAACGTAACTCTTCGATGTACAATGCTGCCGCCAATGGTCTAGCTGAGGCATTCAACAAGACTCTATGCAACTTGTTAAAGAAAGTCGTCTCCAAATCCAAACGAGATTGGAATGACCGTATGGAAGAAGCTCTGTGGGCATATAGGACGACTCACCGTACGCCAACACAGGAGACTCCTTATTCACTCGTTTATGGAGTCAAAGCCGTCTTGCCACTTGAGCGTCAGATACCTTCGTTACGACTGGCTATTCAAGAAAGGATCACTGATGAAGAAAATGCTCGACTTCGATTAGCAGAGTTGGAGGCTCTTGATGAGAAGAGGTTGGAAGCTCAACAGAGTCTTGAATGTTATCAAGCTCGATTGTCTCGCGCCTTCAATAAAAGAGTTTGCCCGAGATCCTTTCAAGTAGGAGATCAAGTCCTTGACGTACGAAGAACCATAATTACTTCCCATAAACCTATAGGGAAGTTCACTTCAAAATGGGATGGGCCATATGTCGTACAAGAAGCTTACTCAAGTGGGGCTTACAAGTTGGTTGATGCAGATGGCATGAGAATCAGCCCTATCAATGGCAAGCTTTTAAAGAAGTATTATCCTTGAAGTTGCGACGCTCCTTGACGCACAAGCCTAAACTGCATGTTGCTACACTCCTGGCCCGCATGAGTCTAAACTGTGTACGGCTCCTACAAAAAAAAAGAGTCCGCTAGGTTGAAAACCTCGAAAGAGGCGGCCCAGGCAAAAGTTAGGACATAAAAAATATAAAAAAAAATCACCCAGTCTGAACTACGATATGACTTGATCCTCTTCATCGAGGTACGTAGGCAGCTTAGAGTTTCATTCTAAGTTCAGCCGCATAAGTTCAAAAGATACATACTGCCCCAATTGTTGTCCGAGTGAAGCATGAAAAGGGATGTAAAATCAAGTTGAACGCCATCGTCCTGGTGAACTTTGGATCCTATTTGATTTAAAGGGCAAGCTGCTATGGTAAAATGGTGTCTTCACTGAAATGATGACAATATTTGCATCAAATTCTGGGGATTCGCTATGTTTTGTGTTCGCATAACCTTCAAGTTTGTTGGTCTTTATATCCGCTCACTGCCCTTAAAAAAGGGAAGAGTAACAACTGCAATCTTGAAAGAGAGCATAGATAAGTAATAAAAAAAAGGGTCGCCTCAGACTTTAAAAAAAAGGGATGTCTGTGTCGGACTGCTTTTAACGGTTTTTGTTGCGAACTTTCAAAGGTGTTCATCTCGAACTTTTAAAGGCATCCGAGTTTTTAACGGTTTACGTTGCAAAATTTTAAAGGTGTTCGTCTCGAACTTTTAAAGGCATCCGAATTTTTAACGGTTTTCGTTGCGAACTTTTAAAGGTGTTCGTCTCGAACTTTTAAAGGCATCCGAATTTTTAAAGGTTTTCGTTGCGAACTTTTAAAGGTGTTCGTCTCGAACTTTTAAAGGCAGTCGGATTTTTAAAGTTTTCGTTCTGCACTTTTAAGGCGTATGCTTCGAACTTTTAAAGGTGCTCGTGGAAAACTTTAAGGGTCCCCATTGCCGACTTTTAAAGATTTCTACCACGAACTTTTATGGATCTTCGCCACGAATTTTTTAGAGTATTCATTGCGTGCTTTTAAAGGTCTTCACCGCGAACTTTTAAAGGTCTTCACCGTGAACTTTTAAAGATCTTGACAACCAGCTTCTAAGGATCCTCGCACGAACTTTTATGGGTCTTCCCCGTAAATTTTAAAGGTATTCGAGGTCTTCACCGCGAACTTTTAAGATCTTGACCACGAGCAGTTAAGGATCTTTGCACGAACTTTTATGGGTCTTTGCAGCAAATTTTAAAGGTATCCACCGCGAACTTTAAAGGTCTTGACCACGAGCTGTTAAGGATCTTTGCACGAACTTTTATGGGTCTTTGCCGCAAATTTTAAAGGTATGCACCGCGAATTTTTAAAGGTCTTGACCACGAGCTTTTAAGGATTTTCGCACGAACTTTTATGGGTCTTCCCCGGAAATTTTAAAGGTATTCGTCGCGAACTTTTATGGTTTGCCACCGCAAATTTTAAAGATCTTCATCACGAACTTTTAAAGCCCTTCATCTCGAACTTATAAAGTACTTCGTAGTTCGACGAAGTTACTATTGAAAAAAAAAAAGACAACAGAGTACAAAAAGAAGAAAGCACAAGAGAAGAGTAAGAAATTACTTTCGCGTCAATGCTTCCGAGTCCACAAAATTAAACTCAAATGGCTTGCAAATACTACGAATTGATGCTAACAAATACGAGCATAGGGGTTTATATATATCTCAAAGGGACTGCTGAAACGTTAATTCTCGATGTGGGATGGCTGTTGTAATCGAAATCTAACAAGGATTTGAATTGTACAAGTTAGTCTCCTAGTTGAAGACAATAAGCCGTGAGTCATGCGAAACAGAATCATCTTTGAATCCTCTAACGTGGAAATTACCAAGTTGGATTCAATTAGGAGTGCATGAATAAGGAAATTTTGTATTCATAATAATCCTTTCACTTTAAGACAGAAAATAAAAAAGGGTCTTGTATTCATTAACTATTTAATAAGTGAAAGTACCCCTGTGCGACGAAGGGTACTTTCGAAATAATGTCATTTATTTTGGGCATTTTGGTTTCAGCTCTTCTATTTCCTCTTAACACGTGTTGGAACTTGGAACCCTCCTATTTCCATAATCCACTTATTTGCACAAGCCTCATTTTGCCATTTCTTCTTCTTCATCACTCTTTATTCCTTTTTCATTCTCTACAATTTGAGGTTTGCCTTCTTCTGATCATTTTAATTTTAATTTTTCTCTCCTTCTTACCTTCTGTTTGCACGGGCATCTTTTTATTCTCGTGTTCCGATTCGATTTACCTATTGTAGGTGATATTTGGTTTAATTTTTCCTGTTGGTTTCGAATTTCAGTGTTTTTTCCTCTAAACTATACAAAGAAAATTTTGTAACAACTTCTAAGATTTTGTTGCATGTGTCTGGAGGTAATTGATTTTCTTCTTTTTTAATTTTTTGGTAGAAAATTTCAAGGTTTCAGTCTATAATAGTGTGGTCATCTTCTTCAAACGCAGTAAAATTTGAGCCCTAATCCTCTGTGTAGAGAAAAATTTTGCAACAGCTTCTAAGATTTTTATGCATGTGTTTGAAGATAATTAATTTCTTCCCTTTTAATTCTTTGGTACAAATTTTTTTTTTTGGTCTGTAACAGTGTGGTCATCTTCTTCAAATGCAGTAAAATCTGAGCGCTAATCCTCTGTGTAACATTAATGGATGTCATTTTGGGTAATTTTTCCATTTCGGATTTCTCTGACATCATATTGCTCTTCGGCTATGTGTTTTGTGTGTTCTGCATTGTCGTCTACTGTACAGAAAAATAAAGCTTATTCTTTAACTGCATGTTATGGTATGTGAACTCTACGACTGTTGTCTAATGTTGCGGCATGTGACAACTTTGTATTTTTTGTTGTTGCTTATTGGAAAAATGTGAGATGATAATTTCTTTCCTGTTTCTATCAATTGATTGGAATTGCACTGAACTAGAGTTATTCAATTGAATTTTCTATATTTTCTGAATTTATGTGTTTCTTTAACTCATTTTTTGAAGGTCGATTTTTATTGGACTTTGCAGGTATGCATTTTCTATTTGGACCGTTAAGCTCTTAACACTGTTGGTAAGCTCAATTATCTATTTTTGCTTATATCATCGAAATTTTTAGGTCATATGAAGCTTAAGAAGCAGATGAACAGCCATAGTATTGGTTAACATGATAGACTAACAGTCAAGTATAGTCATAGATTTGGATCTTGTGTGTGTAAATTCTTATGTGATTATTTTAGCACCTCAGACTTTATTTTCTAATAATAGGTTAAACTGGTGACACAATTATTCCTGATTACCTTTTATGCTTCTTGTTGCAGCAGAAAGAAGAGGAAAGAGGGTAAAATTTATGCAACAAAAAGGAAAAGTAAGTTAATCTTCTTATACAAATTATATTGGCAATTGATATTTTGTTTCCTTGATTTTGAGTTGCTGCCAGCCTGCTTAAACATGTCAAAATTTGTTTTTCTGGTGACATGGTGCCAAATATGTCATCGATTGACATGTGTGACTTTCATGTTTCTTCAACTTGTATGTGCTAACTAATCGGTTGTTGAACACTGACACTCTTACCTTCCTTTTTTTCTCATTCTAGCTGATAGATTGTATCTTGTATAACTTATTTTAAAGTTCTTTTATATCAGTAGTATATCTTGTGTAACCGGGTGAGAAGCCTAATATGTACAAAAAATAGATTGCATCTTCTGAAAGCTTGAATTTTTCCATTAAAACAACAATAATAACAATGCCTCAATCACAAGCGAGTTGGTAATAAATTCTTCACTTGAGACAACATATTTGGTATACAAACAACATTGTCAAATGGTGTCATTATATGTGATACAAGTTGTACTTTTAAAAAAATATGTAATTGTACGGATACATTTGTATGTAACCTTCTGTTCGTAAATTTGTTCTTAGAGCTCCAGGGAAAGAAGTTATTAGCAATACATTATGGACCTACAGAGAATTCTCATGTTGCTAGCGTTAGGGAGGCATTGACACATTTTGTTGTCTCATTGAATGACAAGGAGTGGTTGAAAGAAGAGAGAGAATCTTGCTAAAGGAGTGAAACAACAATTTCAAGAGATGATGCTTCAGCACTCAGTGAAATGTGAATCTACTAAGGTACATTTCTCCCTGCGAGCTGCGGTTGATATGTTAATGAGGAGACACTTCTTTCTAATTAGATTGTTTCTCATATAGCACTTGTATGCACATATCCATGATCTTTCACAGGGACAAAACGAGCAACAACCCTTGAGTTCTAATACCATCAACTTTCATATAAACCTTGTTTCTCAGTGATTTCCTGTTTTCTTCATGTTTTTGGATGATGCTTATATGTATTAGCAAACTTCTTATCCATCCAGTTGATAATATTAAAGTTGATTGACTAATCATAGTATATATGTCTCTCCCTTATTTGTATGGATTGGAATGTGTAATTCCAACTTACTCACAATTATTCTTTTCCAGCCTTTATACTAGGATCATATGTTTCCCCAATAATGTGTAATTCTAATCCTTTCTTTCACCTAGATATCCAATTCTAATTTTCTTTTTTACTTGCAATTTTGTGAAAATAGAAAATAGAAGAGAGAAAACATTTGTTTAATTGGTTGTAAAAATAAAAGAAGAATTCGTTTAACTTTCAACAACTTTGAGTGAGTGTAGGGGTGATATCACTTGGATAAAAGTTGATCTCTTTAATATTATTGTTGATAGTTATCCTGGTGGTCCTTATTGGGCGATATACCGCATTGTTGATTTCAGCACTAATTCAATAATTTGTGATCCATTTCTAGCTATATATTTTGATTTTTGCGTGAAAAGAGATAATGTCATCTTTAATTTTACACCTTTAGATTATCTGAATATTAGGATTGGTTGTTTGTCAACATAAGATTATCAGTTTTTTATAAAGAAATTAAGTTGTGCAAATGTTGTTCTAATAAGGTAGTGTTTTGAAGGTGATGCTATAATGAAAGTGTCTATATTGCATGATTAGAAAATTTTGTGTCCAAGAAGTGAAGTTAATACTTTTAAAACTTGTTTCTTTTGCATCGTTCTAGAGGATTGTCTGAGGTTTCTTCAACTCAGCCAGTAGAGCTTAATGTTGGCAAATGTTTGAATTTCACTCTCTTCTCCTCAGTTTAGAGTGTCTCCATCCTTTCTCCATCTGTCCTCACTACCAATTGGGCTTCCTGTATAGAGATAAAAATGCTATGGTGATTGGGGATTATCATTCTTAGCTAAAGGTTCGTATGACATCTTACTTCTTAATACATTACATTAGTACTATCCTTTTTGAGTAGTGTGACTTTACAAAGTGGTATGTTCTTACCTTTAGCCCAGATTATCGCTTAGCTTGTCATAGGTAAGCTTTGCAAGATAAAGGGGAAAAAAGATAGGCTTGTCATCAGAAATATGCTTTCCTTCATTTACTGTTTTAATATGTGTATATATACAACTCCTCAAAATTTGTATTTTGATGGTTAGTTTATCTGCTTTTACGCAGTCCAGATCTTTGGTGCACCTCTTCTAATAGCTGGTCAAAAATGATAATGGTCTTAGCTTGTAAGTATGATTATCCTATCTTTATTCATTACACATGATCTACCTTTATAGTTTAATGAATTCAAATGATGTGAAGTCACTAATCTGAAAGTCACAGTATTTGCAGTAGTTTGAATTTGCCTAAAAATTTTTGGTGTTACCTGAAAGTCTTCATTTAATATTGAAAGCAATTATCCCCATTAGTAAATTAGGGTCATGTAATAGAAATAGAAACACCACTACTTGGATATATCCCAAGTCACAATATATATGAGTATGGTTGATATATTGACAGTGAGTATAACTCATCTCTGCTTCTATTGCTGATTTTTAACATGAAATTTAGTGTTTTACTATTTAGTTATTAAGAATATCAATACCAAAATCATGGAAGTCTCTTCCATAGAAATAGCTTTGAGGCTCACATCCCTAAATAGGTCCTTCAAGTCTGTAAATTATTTTTCAAAGTAGTCCTCGGATTGCTTTAGAATATGCCTTTGATGGAGGCATTTCAATAGTGCTAGTGTGTCTTAATCTTTTCTCTTCTCCTCTTGGTCTATACTGATATTTTTAGATAGGCTGCCGCTCTTTTTGCCTGTGAGTTTATGATTGTTATGCTGCATATATAAACCTTTTCAGTAAAGATTTTATAAGAGCCTTAGCGGTTGAGTTTTAATTGTCTAAAGCAATATGTAGATTCAAATAAGTCATGTAATGTGTGATTTGAGACAAAATCTCTGTTTTAATGATACACACAACTTCTGCTTCACTCCAGAGCCCAATGATGCAATATCTTTCTAAAACTTCTTCTTTTCTTTTTCAGGAAATGAACTTATTTTGAATCTTATTTTCGTGAATCTTATTTTGTTGATCTTTTGAATTGCAAGGCTAGCCCTTTCTCTCTTTAGCTTTGCGTGGATTATCTTAGATTTAGCTTGACTCTTCTTTTCTTTTCTTTCAGGATACGAACAGTTAAAATCCAGATTTTACCCAATTGTAGCATCAACTTTTGTATTAGTGAGACCACCATGTACTATCTGACCATTTTGTCTCTTATTCTCATGGGAGCAAGTTCAACAATGTAATTGTACAACTTTGTTTCCTCAAATAAATGTACACAATGAAGTATATTATGTTAATATTTAGTTGTCTTGATAATATTGCTTCCTTTTTTTGTGGGTAATCCTTCTAAACAATTAACACGAGTATGGTATTATCTTTCTCAATGTCAGACCTCTTCCTTATACGATTGGGCATACGCCCGTGCATAGCATGGGCACGAGCCATCCAGTAATAAAATAAGGAAATCATCCTTTCACTTTAAGTTTACAACAAAGGAAACAGTTCCTTTCCATGTAGACCAAGATTAAGAAATTTTCCCTTTATTACTAGTGTAAGTGTAACGACCCGACCGGTCGTTTTGAGTACTAGCGCTCCGTTCAGCAGTTGGAGGCCATGAACAACTTCATTTTAGGTATTATGACTTGTACGCGTCGTCGGAATTGAATTTCGGGGAGTCCAGAGTTGATTTGGGAAGAGAATTCTCATTTCGAAAGCTTAAAGTTGAAAGAATGAATTAGGATTGGAATTTTGAGTAAACGAGCTCGGAATCGGGATCTGAAGGTTCCAGCAGGTTCGTATGATGATTTCG